AATGCTTCCCAGTGCTGGTGCCTGTTGTCTTGGACTGTGGCTATGGTGTATTCTTAGTCTGACTGCATCTGATTTGAGCCCAACCATTCTGAGGTCCTGTTTCCAAGAGGAAATACTTGACCTTCCCAGATATCCAGAGTGTGTCCAGGAGCTTGTCAGGAAGGAAAGCTTCCACAGGCAGAAGAAATGTAGCACTCATTTGAAAATTTTCCCTATTTTGTCTGGTGTCTGGTTGTTACTCCCTTTACTCCTGTAGATTGGCTTGTCTCTTACTACCCAACAGCCCTCTCACAAGGGGGGAAATTATGCAGGTGTTCTGAGGATGATAGGCAAGAAGGGACATTTCTGGCAGCTGCCTGTGTCTGCACTCGTGTTCAAAGCCCTTTGAAAGTCTCTTTGCACTGCTCTCAGTTGCTTCATTGTGTTCATTGTGCTGTTTCCATTCCAAACACTAATGGTTGTTAATACTGGACCTTAGGGTGCTCAGGTGTTGTGACATTGCCTTGAACAATTTGTGCTTCTTCTTCTCCAGCGTCAGTAGGGGAAGAGGAGAGCAATGAGCCAGAGGCTGTTCAGAAATAAGCTTCATAAAAGTCAATTCCCTCATTAAATTGGGGTTAGCAGCAACACTGCTCACGCCATTTCTGAGAGTAAGCTCAGAAAACCAATGTGAAATAGGAATGACTTGAGAGAATAGCTCCACATCACATTGCTGGAGAACTGGAGAACTAGGCTCAAGAGTAGCCTCTTTGCTTGTGCCTCATAAAATCCAGCTATCCTTGCAAAGCAGGTGCCTCACTGGTATGGACTGAGGACTCGTGGTGGTGGCAGCAATTTGTGACACGTTCTTGAAGAGCAGCCCCAGTGCTGGTTAGTCCCAGTGCAGAGGCTTTATATGAAATGTGAAACTGAAATTAGGGTTTCACACTTCCTATGTGTTTTCCTGGTGACATTTGTCAGCTGCTTAATGATGGTGATTGTTTCCTTGGGTCATTAAAATCTCTACTCTGCTTTTTAAAGGAGTTGGTGGATTCTCTTAATATCTCTGATTAAGAGAAAGGGAGGGAAAAGTCAGTACTGAAAAAACTTTTAAGTGCAGCTGTTTGAGAAATGATGCCTTTCAAACTACTGGTAACTATTCTCCCTATGCAGACTGTTATTTAGCATTGATAATCAAATATCATCACCGTTTTGTGTAACAAGTCTGGAGAATATCTGCAGGGAATGTGTGTGCACCTATTACTTTGCAAATATATAGTCATTGCACGCCTCATGTAGGTGGATTGTTCACTTGGAAGTTTTAAACAAAAAGGTGAGTGTTCCATTGGTATTTCTAAATGAGCTTGGTATTTTCAAGTAGAAGCTCATTGTTAGGAACTGCAGTGACAGGACAAGGAGTAATGGGGAGAAACTGAAAGAGGAAATTTAGGTTAGGTATTAAGAAGTTTTTTCCCTGTGAAGGTGGTGAGACACTGGCACAGGTTGCCCAGCGAAGCTGTGGCTGCCCCAACCCTGGCAATGTTCGTTACAGGTTGGCTAAAGCCTTGAGCAACCTGCTCTGGTGGGAGGTGTCCCTGCCCAGGGCAGGGGTTGGGGCTGGATCATCTCTAAGCTCCATCCCAACATACTCTGATTCCAGGATTCTATACCAGCCCCTAATAACTGTCAACTGTGCTAAATGATCTTTTTCTTCCTACCTTTTCAGCATTAACAATAAACTGCAACAGCCAGAAGCAGCTGCTGGGGTGCTGGAATATGCCATGAAGCACTTTGGGGAGCTGGTGAGTCTTGCTGGATAACTCTCTTCTTCATGTCTTAGGTTTTTATGGTTTCTGTAGTTAGTTTTTTTGGGGTTGGTTTGTGTTTTTCAGTCAATCCCATTGAGGTTCCATCCCTGATTAGAACATTGCATTGTTCATAGTGAAGGGCCTTGCTGGGGATGTACATGGATACCTCCTAGCAAATGTGTACAGGTCAGATTGCTGGGGAAGGCTGCAAGAACCTGATTTGGAAGATAATTGAGCAGCTCTCCTTGATACTAAAAGCTGCTCTGAGCAACTAGCAACTTGACAACATGAGTAGTTTCATTTATATGCTGGGAAGGGAGGGAGACAGTTCCTGTTCAGAGCTTGAAGCATTTGAGAAACTGCATCAACAACTTCCAGGTAAGGATTTAGTGGCAGTTGTGCATTTAGCCTCTCTCATCCAGAGAGGGACATGAACCTGTCAGAGTTCACAGATGTTATGTGGGATAGCAGATTAACCAGTCCCTTACAATTGAAACTGCTCACAGAAATCAAATAATCCCATTCTGTATTTGTTCTGTGCCTTTCACTGCATGACTTATCTTTTTTCTTTGCTCTTTTTTTTTACGAGTCATTTATTTTACATTCAGGGACTAAACCATCTATGCTCTCCTGCCAATTCTACCGGTAAAGTGATGATTTTGCAGTGATAATAGTTGCAGTGCCTTAGGCTGACTGGGAAAAGGAAGTCAGCGCTGGAAACACAGTTCCTTTCTGTGGGAATCACTAGAAAACAGGCACAGGTTTAAGCACAAAATGGTGGAATTCCTCTGGTGTAGGATTTATGTGTGGTTTTGACCTAGACTGGAAAATGAACCCTTGCTAGGAGAAGTACAAACTTCAGAACACCTTTGCAGCTTCTTATTCCTTGGGTGGACTGAGCAAAGTTCTGTATTACCTAATTCTGACTTCACTCTTCAGCAGCAATTTAGTTCTAGCAGTAAATGTAGTTCAAAGCACAGAGTTTGCCAGTATAGGCAGTGAAAAGAAATTAAGAGGAGCTGTGAGCTCTACTTTCAGGAACTTAATTGAAATACGACTGAGCTGAGAAGTTAAAGGGCAGCTAAATAAACATCCCTGGTGGAAGACTTGGCATGCAGAGCCTGGTTTATAGTGACCCTGCCCACGGGGCTGGGAGAGGAATCTATTCTGCAGCCTGTGTCAAGACAGGAGCTGCCAAGGACTGAGCAGAAAAACACTGGCAGAGAAAAGTATGGAAAAATACATTAAGGCATTTTCTTTCTTAAAAATTAGAAACAAAATCTAGAAACCAAGACTGAAGAAAAGTTTGTGCAGCTGATAAGGATCAGTGCTTGGCTTATTTTTAAAGGCTTTGTTACAAGCTGTAGCTTTCCCTTGTGAGGGAAGTGATTAGACCCCAGCTTCATACTAGCTGCTGTGTTAAAAATTGCCCACCAGTAGCCAGATGCACAGTTTGAGGGTTGTTTTTTTCAGTTAGCCATTTCATTCCTGAGCACAAGAGTGTTTTTCTTGTTTAAATGCAAACATGTGCAACAATGGGAAGTAGAATATGTTGTAGATTTACCCTTTTTCCTATTCTACTCACTCCCCTTCTCCAACAAGAAAAGCAGCAGCCACTGAGCTGCTCTTTCAGTGGCACTGACTAGGGGGATGATGTTGGACTGATCCCTCTGGTAAACCTGAATTCATTTCTGTGCAGGTGGAGGATATTAGGATGCTGTTTTCTCACTAGCTCAAGGCTTTTCTCTGTATCACAGAACTCCATGAGGATACTGAGAATTAAAAAAAGGCGAAGTTACCACCCCAGACACAGAATTTTGTAGGAAAAGCTGTCATGGTTATTACAGAATGATCAACATTAATCCTACTATTCATTCTGGGGGTTTTTTTCCTCTCCCTTAGGAAATTCAGGCTACCTGGTATGAAAAGCTCCATGAGTGGGAAGATGCCCTGGTGGCCTATGACAAGAAGATGGACACAAACAAAGATGATCCCGAGCTGATGCTGGGACGGATGCGCTGCTTGGAAGCACTGGGGGAATGGTAAGAGGGGGGAATGCCTGAGGACTGAGCAAAATGGTCAATGTGTTCTCTAGGTGATGTCAGTGAGGTGAAATTTTTTTTTTGCCAGAATTCCTATTTATTCCTGCTTAGTTTGAGTATTTCTAGTGGCTTCTTGTTTTGTTCATTGAGGTCAGAATTGGTAATAACATTCCTAAGCCCTTTGGCACTGAGAATCTGAGGAGTTCAGGTCTCTCTGAAAGACAATCTGCAGTCTTATGATCGGACCAACCCCATTTGTGACAGAAAGAAATCGTAAATAGAGGAAACATTATGTGAGCAGAACTTACCAAAAAACAGTCACAAAGGGAGCTCGTTGTGGCCCTCATTTTTCAACTGATTCAAACAGAGATTTCTGTGTTTATTCAGGGTCAGACCTATCCTTTTGCCCATCTTGTAGATGGATGAGTTTTTCATTATTAGTCTTTCTTAGCATTCATTAAGCCTTGTCTTTGTGGACATTTACTATTTCAAGCCATGTGTTAAATATCTGTTGTGAAGATGTAACAGATTCGAGCTGGTGTTTCAGAGGGTGAGCTGGCAGTGACTTACAGCTTGCTGCTTAACTGGGGGCTCCTGTTTTTTCTCCCTGTTCAGCTCCAGGAAGCTAATTGGGGCAGGCATGCTGTGCACTGCAGCGTGCAGTTCCACCCAGGGGCAGATGTGGCTTGGGCCAGGTTCCTTCTCTCTGCTGAACTCTGCATGTCACGAGCTCTCTCCTGATGGGTCCTGACGTGAACCCATGGCATGGCACACACTGAGGAGATTCCTCTTCACTAAAGTCATTTTGCTGGTGGAGGAACAGACCTGTTTGAGAAACCTCATTCCGACAGCATTTTTCTGCCCTTTTTCTTTCTAGAAAAGGGTGAGACATACTGGGTGTAGCTTTTTTAGTAGGGAAAATAGATCCTGGGCATTCCTCAATTAGCTTTTCTAGGAGTAGGCAGTTCTCACAAGGGATTTAAAGAATCTTTCCCTCCTGCAGGGCATGTATGTGTGTAAAGTGTCCTTTCTGAACCTCCTGCTTATTCATGTATCAGTGACAAATGTATGACAATAGGACACTTTTCTGTTGGAGTGAGATATCTACCTGACATCTATTGATGGTCTGTAGTGATGATAGCAATCAGTCTACAAGATCTCTCTACAACTCCCTGATGGGTTAGAGAGAGGTGTGGGATGTCTGTCCTGCCATGGCTGCAGGGAGAGGACTAGAAGGAATGGCCTGAGCTGAGACAGGGAGAGTCAGATTAGATGTTCGGACAAAATCCTTCACTGTTAGGGTGTTCAGGCACTGGAATAGATTGCTCAGGGAGGTGGTGGAGTCACCATCCCTGGAAGTGTTTGAGAGGTGTCTGGATACAGCTTAGGGGTCACAGCAGAGTGGCAGATAATGGTTGGATTTGAGGTGTCCTCCAGCCTTGGTGGCTCTGTGATTCCAAGATCTGTGTGCTTGCTATTGTGGAACTGCACTCCATTTCTCTGCAGGTGTTTTTTGCAGTTCAGAAGAGCCTTTGCCAAGTGCTCTCTGCTACCTTGCAGCTGATTCCAGAGACATTATCCCGAGGCTGAGGATTCCATGGTTTGGCTGCAGATACTCTTCAGCAGTGTTCAGCTTCACTGTTCATGCTGCTGGAGTCATCTTGGCAGGAGGAGGCAGTTTAATCTAGAGCTGCATTATGCAGCATCATTCTTTCAGCACTCTGTGCAGTGATGATTGGAGAGTACAGCCAAAATATTCTTAGCCATTTGTCTCCTGATGTAGTTATTCCTGCAAGAGCCACACTGCTTTATCAGCATCTGTGAGGTCCTGATTTGCTGCTGTTGCTAGGCTTGGCTTGGGTTTTCAGTTGTTCTGGGTTGGGTTTTTTTCTCTCTGGGGCCATTAAGCTGTCAGAATGACTGTCTTGCCCATGGCAGTCCATTGGTTCTGTTTGACTAACTCATCTTCCTTCCTGGGAGGGTGACAGCAGGGAAGGCAAGTTGGCCTCCCTCACACTTGGCAGCTGTTCCAGTGCTACAGAGTATCCAGCCTGAGAAATTCTGGAACTGCAACACCCACAGTAATTGGTTTGATTAGTGGAGCATTCACAGCTGATTTAAAAGAAGCAATATAAGAAATCCTGATGCTTCCTCATCGCTGGAGATGAAAGATTCAGATCCCCTCTGAGATCTTGCCGTGACAAGTCTTCATAGGAGGTTACAGCACCATTGCTTTTCCAGTCTCTGTCTTCTGACTTGATGATGTGTTAATTCAAAATGTTTGATAGCAGGAGCCACGCAAAGCTATTCAGATCATGTTTCTTGTACTGACACTTGCAGAAAGTTTGAATTTGCTGGTGGTTTGTTTGGTTTCTTGGGAATGTTTTTTTTTTCCTCTGTAGAGTGACATTGACAGTTCAGTTCCTGTAGCAGGCATCAACAGCTGCTGAGGAACTGATACAGACTTCTGTTGGGATTTGTGTTTTCAAAGCAATGTGCCTTGAAACTCCTTTCTGGTGATAGGATATATGTCACCAGACTGGCATGGCTGAATTGGCCAGATGAGTCAAATCCTGTTCTCCACTCAGCATAAAAAGAATCAGTGGGTTGGTTGTTGCCTTATCTGTGGAAAGTGGTTGTTTAGTGAGTCAGAATTCTTACAAGAGGCTTTTTGCTGATGAGAAATTGTGAATTCTCCTTAGGGGACAGCTGCACCAGCAATGCTGTGAGAAGTGGACACAGGTCAATGATGAGACTCAAGCCAAGATGGCCAGGATGGCTGCTGCTGCTGCCTGGGGCCTGGGTAATGTATCCTGCTGTGCCAGCCCACGCTGTGGAGGCACAGAGAGCTTCAACTTGCTTCAGGGCTACAGAATATAAGAAGCAGCAACACCAAAGAACCACATTATTTACACGGGGAAATGAAGTAGCTGTCATTCCATACTGAAGCCCTTTGGAAAACCTTCATTTACATAACATCTCCCAGTGTGGTCTCCAGTAACAGAGCCTCACTGGTCTGAGCAGATGATCAGTTGCTTAACTGCTCCTTTTTACTTGGCTTTACATGGAGCAGAGCTCAGCCTTGAAATGAGATTAACAGACTTTCTCAGCTTCGTGGCAGACTCTTATTTACAAACTACAACAGTATCTGCTGAGCATTCTGATAGATCTTGTCTGCTGAGTAGACAATCTTAAGTGGAATAAATCTCTAATGGTCAAAATGTCCATTATGCTGATAGCCAGAGATTTACTAGAGAAGGTTATAAATCACTTGCTGTCTGCCAGCCCGTGCTGGGAAAATCATTCTGTTGCTTTGTAGGGCACTAATTCATGGCAATGTTCTGGAAATGTCAGAATTTCAACTTTCTCATCACAAGGAATGAAAGAGCCTTTTCCACGAGGATAACAATTTGCCTAGAAGAATAATGCCCATGTTTTGCCTGTCTGTAACTCTGTGTATGTTGATAGATGGTTTCTGTGTGTAAAAGACAAGCTGTTGGAGAGCTGACTTCTTGCAGAAGTACCACATAGCACTCAGGCCTGGTTGCTGCTGTCTGAGCACCACAGCTTAGTCCTGTTCTGCTCTTACCTCACAGAGAAGGTTGTTTCCTACTGAGGATATCTGTCTCTGCAGGTCAGTGGGATAGCATGGAAGAGTATACCTGCATGATCCCAAGGGACACCCACGATGGTGCTTTCTACAGGGCTGTACTGGCTCTTCATCAGGACCTCTTCTCACTGGCTCAGCAAGTAATTATCCTCCTTGTTGGCTTTCTGAGACCTGGTTTAAGCTGCACTAGGCTATATGCTGCTCTAAAGCTGTAGCCTAAGAATTGCCCAATAAGCTTTTTTGCCATGGATGTGTTAGATATTGGAGATTGATCTTAGCTTGTATTTCCAGGAACACAGCAGTGAGTGTATGTACAGGTAGTAGCCATCCAGTGCTGTAGAGCATAAGAATGGCTTTATAATTTTTTAGGCTTTTTTTTATTTTTATGCCTGTTTTGTAGCCAGACAGGGCACAAGGATTGTCTCAGCAGAGGTTCCATTCTACAAGACACTGACTGTAAAATGCCACAAATGCCTGAGACACCTGTAAGATTCTTCATGGATGTTCTGTGCACTTCTGTCTGTTGCAGCTTTTTCAGTGAAGTGATCACATATATCGTGTGCAATTGCTTTAATTCTTCTGGTAGCATTGATACATCTCAAATCATAGACTGATATAAAGGCAAGGAACGAGTCTATTAAACAGAGCCATAGATGCTTATTTGTCACAGAGGAGATTTGCAGAGTAACTTTCTCCTCTCTAGATGCAAAGCATGTTGTTTACTTTCCAAGGAAGCTAAAGTAGCACTTCTCAGAATTCTGTGCTGGCTTGCCAGCTTAGATAAAGGAGCAGCTCAGTCTGCTCTGTCAAAACCCGTACCGAGATTTCTGGGTGATGTGCACAGGAAAATTAACCAGGCATTCAAAAGGGTAGAGTTTGTGATTAACCTTTAACATTTGGAACAGGAAAAGCTATAGGTGAGAGATTATATAATGACTAGAACCAGAGCAGGAGTTATTTCATGCTTGAAGAGTCTGTCTTAGTTGGAGGATGAGAAATGGAATTTGCTGTCCTGTAAAATTCATAAAATCCTGTTGGGTTACATAAAACAGTGAAAGCTATTTTCTGTCATTTTGTGGTATCAGGAGACATTTCTTGAGGCTTTTCTGTAACCAGCTGTCTTGCACTAAAATGTGAACTTCTC